CTCGGCTCGATTGCCATCACTAGCGGAGATTATGATTCTCGTACCCACTTCGGGGCAATAATCCTCATCCCATTTATCCGAAAAGGCAGGTAATCCCCATCCATTTCGGGGTAGGACCCCACGAATTTTGGATTGAACGAATTTTTTTGCCATTCCTAATCAATTTTTGATAACTTGAAAACCACTGCTAGAATAAAACGCCAATTTTGTGTTCATGAAGGGCAATAATCCTCATCCCGTTTATCCAAAAAGGCAGGTAATCCCCGTCCATTTCGGGGTAGGACCCCACAAATTTTGGATTGAACGAATTTTTTTGCCATTCCTAATCAATTTTTGATAACTTGAAAACCACTGCTAGAATAAAACGCCAATTTTGTGTTCATGAATGAATTATTAACAGGGGAAAAACAATTGTCTTGGAATCAAAAAAGAAAGCTAGCGATCCATAACTTATCTTATGGGGCCAACTTTTGCCACGTGAAATAAAGAGTAAACTTTTCCATTTAATGAGGTAATGCTATTTTAAGGTAACTTTTCCACGTGAAATAACTCATCCTTTTGAGCTTTTATAAGGTAATGCTATTCATCTTCGTTGGATTGAGCACCAATTTTGGTGATAACACTTTATAAATTTAATTAAATAAGTCATGTGACTTTGCATTTGTATGAATTTATCATTTAAAACAATGCAATTGTCATTTAAATTAGTGATCAATACCAGTGAGAATAAATATCATTACTCTTATCCTAAATATGATTTTATAAGGTTTCTTGTTCAATGCTGTATCTATACAAAATAATTTAACCTGTGCAACAATTCTCTTTGGTACTTGCAACTTGCAATGAACAATACTTGTGTTCATAAAGGAAAGGAAAATTCCGTTTGTACAGAAAACTTACAGATTCTCACATGGGACTGGACCCCATTTGAATTAAATATTATAAAAAAAAAAAACGGCCCCATCTATTGTGTCTATTCCGTTTGAGAAACTTTTGAATACCCAATTTACCCTTAAATATTTACTTATATACCTAATATACCCTTATTTAATTTTAGTTTTGTTAATAATTAATTAATAACATTAATTCCTTACATATTTAACTACATGCCCAATATAACCTTCTTTAATTTTAGTTTTGTTAATAATTAATTAATAATTTTAATTCATTTTATTCAACATGAAATTAAAAAAAAATCATTTTCTTTTCAATTTGTCAATAATTCTCTAAATTNATTAATTCAATTTATTCAACATGAAATTTTAAAAAAAAATCATTTTCTTTTTCATTTATCAATAATTCCATAAATTAATCTTTTTAATATTATATTAATTTTTGTTATAAAAATATAACTTATATTTCTTTCGTCGGTTGAATTAATCCGTTTAAAAAAATTCATATTTTCTTATTTAAATGACTGTTTTATTCGATTGTTTCATATACATTCTAACAACTAATAATATATTTAATATAATAAAATTAATGCATATAGAATGTTACTATATAGTTTGATAAATTTTTTATTTTATATTATATTTATCCTTATTTAAAAGTAGTTTTAATGTATAGTTACATATGAATCTCCATAGTTATTTTCCTTTATATTCTTATCATTATACGAAACTAAATAAATTATAATAATATTATAATATGTGTTGAAATTCTAAAACATCCATACCCTACATTAAAAGATTAAAAATTTCAATACACAGAGAGAACGTATCATGAAGGAAGATGAAGAGAGTCTGTTGAGGCTATGTTTTTAATTATCTGCCAATAGAGAGCATGTGAAAGGGATTGAGAGATGTCTATTTTTATAATTAATAATTAATGTAAATAAATGAAATGGGAGATGCAGTGCTCCTTTGTGTTAGTACATGCATTATGTAATTAACATAATTAAGATCATAATAGCTATAAAAATAATGTTTCTTATTCTAGAACTATGTCAATGAAAGCACTTTGTTATGGGCTAAAGGTAAGAACTATTGTGAATGAAAGTAATTTGTTGTAAATTAGAGCTTTTCAAATTTCGAAGATTGCCCAAATGATGCTTATGTGGGTAAATATATTCATGTTGGACATTGGAGTTTTAAAGAAGTTGATTACGTGAGACAAATTCTACAAAAAAAAAAAAAAATGACTGCTTTGGTCTTTGACGAAATTTTTGATTATGTTAAAAAAAAAAAATTTAGTGTAGTTCTTTTTTTCTCTCTATTTTTATTTTTAATTCTTTTAGTAATGTCCCTTTAAATGATGAACATAAGCTACTTCTAAATTGACAGTGTTTTGAAGTTTTGTTTTTTTTGTTTTTGTTTTTGTTTTTGTTTTTGTTTTTGTTTTTGTTTTTGTTTGCGATTAGTTAAGTTTGGTCCACATTTCAATTTAATTTCTAAAATCAAAGATTTAATTGTATGAAATTTCTATTTTAAATTTATCTATTATCACGAACCATTTTAATTGTATATATAATCTGTTTTAGACGTCCTAAGCACATGGCATCCTCGACAGTATTATTGTCTTATCATATTCATGCAAATATGCAATTTTTTTATACATTGTTATAAATCTGTGGAGCCATCTTTGGCTGGACATCTATACCAGATCTCTTTTCACTATCGTGGCTCATCTTTGACTTGACGATTTATATTTTTAATATTTCTAATTTTATGGTTTTTATTTAGTCATTTTATTATTTATTAAACTATGATTTAATAATTACTTTTAGAAGAGATAAGGGAACATTAGCATATGTGCAACTATATTGAACTTTGGCAATAGGATTTTGTTGAAACGTGAACAACGTCCACTTTGCATTGGTTTTTGACTGATTTTTATATTAAATAAAATCATTTGAGATCTTTATTTTCATATTTACCTAATTTTCGGTATTAAACAAATTTTGAAGTGTTAATTATAATTAGTATATGTCGCTGTATCATATTGGTATTTGAGTACAATCACATTCTTGATAAAGACGTGTTATATGATATTATATTTGTATGATATGCCCTATATTTGCTATATGATTTGTCCAACATTGATAAATAATTAC